CTTGTTCTTCAGCTTCCATGACAGATCTTCCATGTACAGTTAGCTCCTCTAAGCACTCCCCAACTTGGCTTCTCTGCCTGTAACAGAGACTCCAGTATAAAACAAATTCTCAAGCTGAAGGCTAGAAATATGCATAAGCATGTTAGAAGTATTTGCCTCTTGAAGAATGTTAAATAACTTTGCCAGGTAAAAGGGCTCAAGAACTGTTGAAGGGAACTGCAAAGTGGTGCTACATAAAAGCTTTATCAAGGTTGATGCAAAGGCTCATCTTAGTGATGCAGATGGCAGAATTCCTCTGCAGTCGAAAAGTATCACAATTTTTATTTTTACTGTTAAAAAAAGATTTATGTTAAGAATTACAGGATGGATCGCTGATATAGAAGAAGTGTATATCAATCTAGTGTAAGGATTAGCATGCATTAGTTCATACATTCCTCACATTTAAGGAACTATTTGCACTTCATTTTAAATGAAATTAACTAAAAATCTTTTCCAAAGAATGAAGTTTTTTATTTATTTTTCTTACATTAGTTATGGCATGAGAAAAGCCCAAAAGGTTTTCTTTGCAGTATTTCTAATTCAATTAAGAGCAAGAACCAATTAAAAACTCAAATGGTTTCCCATGAACTTTTAGACTGAAGCGTTGGATAAATTTAGATTCCCAATAAAACCTAATTTAATTTCAAAATGTTCTGGCCAAGTTTTTTAGAAATAGATGCTTATAGGTAGGATGCTATGTCTATATTTTTAGGCAACACAGAAGAAGGATCTACATTTCAGAAGTTCTGTGCATCGAAGTACCCAAAAATAAATCAACACAAGCGGCTGAAGTTCAGTTTCCTTCAGATCAGACAATTCTTTTAAAGATCTATTGCAAATGTGGACAACTCTTTTTGTCTTCCTTATGATCCTATAGGCATAGGCTATGTATAGAATTGATAGAAATGTACAAAACATAGATTTAAGTCTCTAAATTTTGAGTAAATTTGTAAAAATCTTGCTTAAACATTTGTACACACATAATTAAAGCTACTGTAGAAATTTATTGATCTTTTAATGGAGAAATGCAGCCATTTTTCAGGGAGATGTCAGTACTCAATCAGGAATTTCTGTCTGCCATCCTACTCCTGGCTTACTAAGGCCAGCAGAACAGAACATCACTGAGAAAGACATTCAGTCAGATTGGGCTTGTCCTTATCCAAACACGGACCCAAAATAACAATCCAGTGTGTGTGGTTGTACACACACACAAGAAAAGTGAAATAAAACAGTTAATCAAGAAAGACTGGTCTGAGAAGTTTTTGTGAAAGACTCAATAAACAGTAATGTTTGGCCTGATATGAGAAGAGACAGTGAGATTACATGTGTACTTGTTGCTGAAGACATGGAGATACAAGCCATCAGGGAACTTTACACCTGCACCTAACAGAAATATTTTTTGGTCAGCAATGGTCTGCAAGGAAAAAAAAGAATGAAGGTAAAAATTTTGCAGTTACACCTATTAGCAACTTTAAAAATTATAAGTTAACAGTAAATCACTAGTAAATTAACAGATTTTTTTTTTTAAGATATCATAAAGAATAGAATCTGAACACTGTCTAATTATGGTTTTGGACATGTATTTAAAGTATTGCAAACAAACATAAAGGGAAAAAATTATGTAAGCTGCCAAAGACCTATTAGGAATGACAGAACCACAGAATGGGCCACGTTGAAAGGGACCACAGTGGGTCATCTGGTCCAACTTCCGTGCTCAAGCAGGGTCATCCTAGAGCACACTGCACAGGATTGCATCCAGGTGGTTCTTGAATATCTCCAGTGAGGGAGACTCTATTAAATTCAAAATTTTAAGGTCAAGCCATAAGATTTCCTCAAAGAAAGAATTCTACTGTGACTATTTAGGGTGATGAAACACTTCATGTTAATATGAATTATGATTAAGTTGCCTGATGATGTTGAACACAGAACACTCAGTCCCAACTACGACCTTTCAGGAATCACCTTGCTCAAAATGAGGCCCATGAAGGCTGACAGGAAACTGAGCTGTCATATATAACATATAATCACAAAATAAGTATGTAAAGTACTTGTATTATATATACAGAAAATACTGTTGTCTGATTAGCTGTTGAACCTGCTCAACACCACAGCAGAAGTACTTCACCTGCAGCCTTTGTACCTTTTATTAAGTATCCCCTTGAGGGAATCCCATGGCTCCATAACTCATTTTTTCTTTTCTAGAACAGATTCCTACTGTTTTGGTGCTACAGACATCTATTCTTCCAACCCCCACTAAAAGCTGGATGCTAGACACCTCATAACTGGTCAACAAACACACTAAATACTTTGCACCAGAGGCAGCATCTTCTTCAATATTGTCTCCTTCTTCTGCATCCGGTTCAGGCATCCAGTAGCGAATGACCATATGCATGGATTTTCTGTGATGGAAAACCTCTCTTACCAGAACACGTGTCTCACAGATGACTCTGCGTATCTCTAGGTTTTTGTTCCTAGACCCACTGCAGAGAACCTGAGATACCACCACCTGTTCTTTAGAGATCTTAGTTTATCAAAATGTGCAGGCTGCCTTTTACTGTAAAGTGCTTTTGCTGTAAAAACACCTTTGGAATTAAGCCTAAGCCCACTGATGTGAGCTGATCCAGCCTGTGTCAACGACATTTGGAATTGGGCAGTAGAGTTCTGTAGTGCTCCAAAAAAGGTTTGGTTTGACAACCAATGGCTTTTCTTGCATTAGGCTAATTTGCTGAATCTTCTCTCTCCTATATGATATTTAAACAAAGTAAGATGTATTCCAGTTATGAGATAGCTTCCCTTTTAATATTTCCCCCTCAAAATGCAGCTTGGATTTAGTAATTAATCAGTGATATCCTGCAGAGTCTACAGACTATCATGAACACTTAGACAACCCACATATTTCTCCAAACTAAAGCAATCCAAGAAACTGAATTTACATAAACAATAAAAAGATTTTTCTGTGCAAGTTCATAAATTCTGACAGTTCATGGAAGAAGACACTTGAGATGAGTTAAGAAGCTTTAACAACTCTACACAAAGGCAAGTACTGGCTCAAAAAGCAATCAGCATTCTGGAAATGACTAATGAAGTATTACAGCACAATTCTGATAGTGGATGCTTTGGCTTACACTGCATAGCTAAAGAGCAGCAACACGGTATCATAAATGCAGGAGTCATTCTTTGTGAATATGTGACATATCCAGCTTCTGAACATTATGAATCCTGTTCACTGAGTCTTGAGAGTGGATTATTTAGTGTTTTCTGGATTAAGAAGCAATAGATTCAGTCTGTCAAAGATAGGTAAGCACAGAACCTGCTTTCTCACTTCAAACTGGCAGATGCTACAACAGTCCTTCTAAAGGTATATATTAACACTTCCACTGCAGCTACATAAAGGTTATATAACACATTCCCACTGGTTGGAAAATATTTTCTAAAAAAATATCTGCAAGTAGCATGGATTTGTTTGGTGGTTGTATCTGTGTGAAGACAGATCACACACATCTGTCTGGTCTATGAGGAAAAGTCTATGAAGGATTTTCATTGAAAGGTAGTAAACACATTTGACCATATTTCAATCTCTAGTGTCTCATTTTAAGATTGTTTATCAAACATGTGTGGCCCAGTCTGAAAGAAATCCAGAATTTTTTGCCAATGAGTAGAATAGAATGATTTCCTAATCATGCTAAGTCTTCATCTACACCAGGCTTAGCCTTGCAATTCAGATGAGATAACTTGAGGCTAAAGATTATCTGATAGATTGGTGGATCATAACAGCAGATCAACCGTAACTTGGTTGCTGGAAAGATCACACATACTAATTTTCTGATACTCATAGCACTGCTAGAAGAAACAAGGATTTAACAAAATACATTTTCAAGTGGGGAAAAGCTGAAACTGAAGGAGCATAATTATAATTTTGTCATTAACTCCATATAAGAAGCAAATTCAGCATATTCAGCATTGAGATGGAAACTAAACTCGTTCTCAGAAGCTCCAAGTCTCATTCTCACCTCTGCTCTGATTTGTCACATCAACTTTAAAGTTGTGTCTGTAAAATGAAGCTGACTTACAAATATACTCAAAATTAAGCTGCAATCTGGGAATGACAGTGCTATACATTACTATTACATATATCCTACAGAAATACCTTCCCTTACTTACTTATACTTTACCTTATAAATTTGCTCTATTTACTCTGCAATTTACTCAATGTTGTTCTTTCCTTAAAGATTAAACATTATAAAAGTCTTAAATGGGAAGAAGCAGGAAGAATTCAAGCTTACTTATGTACCACGTAGAAATTTCTCTATCCTGTCTTCCATCTATCTGTGGAACAAGTTCCTACAGGAATCAAGGATAAGCCTACATATATTCTGAGGGATTATTCATGCATTATATTAAAAAAAAACCTTTCAGAAGTGCTTAAATTCTTCAAAGATGAGGGCAATATAAGACAAACTATCAGAGAAACTGAACTGCTTAACTGTTAGAGTTGTTTAAAAAAAGGTCTTTGTACGCCTAACAACGATAAACATTAGAGACCAGACCTAAAGTAGTTATTAAGAAAAACTGTAATATCTACACTGATTTTTAAAAACAAGTATAAAGGCAATTTCATCTGCCATACCTGTAAAAAAAATCAGTATTTAGTAAAAGTAAGGAACTCCAACTCAGAGAAGGTTTGAAGTAAATTTGAGCATATTTATTAAAGAAAGAGACCATAAATTATATTTTAATAAAAATCAGCATTTTTTTTCCAGTATGTCTAGTTCTAAATTGTTTACAGTTTTTTCTTTCATGTAAAAAATAAATCCATAGAGCAAGACAGAACTGAAACTGGACACAAATTGAATTACTTTTTATATGGCAACTTGCTCAAAAATAAAACTGTCACCAATTGATTATCACTTACTGTTTTTTTAAGAAATAAGTTTATGGGAAAGTTATGATCATTCAATACATTTCATTTTTTTTGTTAGAATAGATTGAGAATCTCATTTTAATAAAATCTGAAAAGTTAAAATATATTTTTCAGTGTGAATATATTACTGCCTCAACTTTTTTTGCTGTACAAATTTAGTTGTTACTTATGGCAACATAATTGGCTGGAAAGATGCCAGTTTGTCCTCCTATTCTTCCTTCCCACCAATCAAACTGGGAATTTGTTTTAGTTGTGACTGTGATTTTGTCTCCAGCTTTGAATGTCAAATCACCTGGCTGTTGTCCTTCAAATGAATAAAGTGCTGTCACTTCTACTGGATCACTACAAGAGTTATCTGAAATGAAAGAAATTAAATAAGAAGAAAATTACTACAGGAAATTACGTGTCTGCACATACACTAAGTTCTTATATACAGTATACAAGAGTAGAAAGCAGTGACATAGACACCAAAATAATCTGAGCATATAAACCACTAATGAAAAAACCCTTCCATTTTCACTATATTCTTAAGTAAGTGAAATTTGAATTCCAACCTATTGGGACAATCTATTTAATAAAGTAGTACTCTATACAACATAAAGATCAGTCATTTTTTCTGTATGCCTCATACAGAGGAGGAAGAAAAGTGTGTTGAAGAAAGCGTGAGTGCTTGCTGAAGGATTGCTAATGGAACTCCTGTTCAGATTTTAGTTTCGGTATGTGTTGTGACAGTTTCTTCATAGGAAAACAGAGAATTTGATTTTTGACTCAAACCTCAAGATATAGGATGGCAAAATACAAAACATCTGCACCACTTTCTCTTCTCTTTCCATAGGGTTTGCAGTGCCTGGGATTTTGGTGTATCTTGCATGTTAAACAGGACACACAAAATGTGACAGTGGAAATAACTGATTACAGTTTGATGTATGGAAGTGACTTAGTTTGCACAGTGGTATTTTAGACTGCATATACAAATGGCATTTATTCTGTTTACACCAGTCTTTTACATGTCTCCTTCAGTCCTTAGCTGGTGTTGGAATCATGTCCTGAGTCTTCTGATCTAGTTTTAAAATCATCAAAATCTTGGATATTATTACCCAGCCTCAATTCCTGTTGAAAATTCTTAGCCAATATCTCAGTGTTTATTACTATTGAACTTTTAATCTAAGTGAGTATCTTCAATTTACTAATAATTCTGTTCTCTCTCAATTCCTTTAACTGTCTGAACTATACGAGGCAGTTGCATTTGTTTAACGTTGGTTTAGAACACAGTTAAATCTCTTGCATGAATGCATCTAGAAGTGAAAAACTGAAGGTGCAATGGAAGACTAGTTAAGAGGAAATAATGATGTTTACACAGTCAGGTGGAGAGATTTCAGGATGTACTGCTCATATGGATATGATGGCTGCACAAATGCTCAAGCATGAAAGATGAAAGGCTTTTAGCATTAGCTGCACCTGCTTGCTGTCAAAACTGTTGCAAAAGGGGAAATCCAAGCTCTTATTAGTCTACACATGGCAAGCACAGAGCTAGAAAGAACAGTGAGAGAAGCATTGATACATTTTTTTTGCAGTCTGTCTTCAACAACTGATACCCACAGATCTTTTCTTCTTATTGCTTTTATAATTTCAAAAGAAAAGGTAAAAATTCTTCTCCCCAAGGTTCACAAACACAAACAGCATCCAAAAGAGGACAGAGAAGAAAACTGGACTACAAAGGTATGCATAACCAGCACAGTTTCACCCCTGCCCCCAGCATCTGTCAATATATACGTTCATTCTACAGGTCAGTTCTTTCATGATCTGCATTTGTAGCAATCATCAAGGACTAATAAAAAATTATTTGGCTATGTACTGGGAGAGAGTTGGTTGCAGATAAGTCAAATGCTGTCCTTCTTGATCACACAACCTCTCCTGATATCTATATTCATGATCTAAAATCACACAACACTATTTCTTTTGATGTGCAAATGTTTATGAGGTCCATATCTTCACCAGTTACTCCTACCAAAAAAGGCGTTACAGCTTTTCTAAATAGCTCTTTTACTTTCACACTTGAAAGCCTGACAGCCTGCGTATTCAGCAATTACATGATATTCCTCCAAGAAATCAAACACTTGATGCAGTTGGGATGATACAATGTGCTCCTATGCAATGTGTGGTTTGAACCTAGATATTTTGATTGAGGAAATCATAGCCAAACCCACAGAAGTAAAAGACTGACTTTTTATTCCTAGTAATAATTAAAGAATAGTCAGAAAATACTGTGGCTCAGGACTCTTCAGGTGTTAAGGCATGAAAACAGTTATTATTCAGTTCATATAAAATGGAAGAGGGGGTGTGTTTCACCCCTCTGCCACATTCAGGCAGTTCACATGGGTAAAAGTGCATTTATATGTTATGATGAAGGTAACAAATTCCAATACTTTGAGTTCTTAAACATATGTGTTTCCATCACCTAAATGTTAAAATGTTCAAACTATGTATTTATAACTGCCCAAAATACATTAATAAACTTGGAAAAACTAGAAATTTGACTGAGCAGAAGAAGAGACCGAAAGTGCTAGAAGTGATGTGAGAGCTTCTTTTCATTACATTCTTTTCATTACGTGTCAAGACCACCATAATATGCTGGACTTAGCAATGGCAGCAACTAACAGTTACCTCCTTCATGGCTGAACTTGCATTAAGACTATAATTCCTTTTACACAAACTCCTGAGTATTCTGAAATTAGCTCAGTAAAAGTAGGAAGAAAAGTGAAGGGAAACTAGACACAAATTGAAGCATAAAAAGATGGAAAAAAAGTAGCATGTGTGAGATATTAAAGTGTAGGAGTGCATTCAACACACCACAACTGTTCCTCCAACTATTGTTTGCTCTGTCATATGAACAAGATTATTTTATATGTTTCTCTTCTCACTTTTTGTGCCTGTACATGTGTATCTTTCAAAACATACAGAAACATCAAAGCACTGCAGCTGAATATGAACATTCAGTTCTGTGTCCTTGCCCCATTTGCTACCTGCTGTCATTTAAAAGTGTTTTACAGCTTTATACCTGTCAGCTATTTCATAACCATTTCTACTTAATTTTCCCTAGCAGTTTTCTCCTGTACTATAGTTTCATTTTATTTTATTTCTCACAAAGATTCTAATTTCTGTGCTTAAATTTTGTAGTTTTGTAGCACAAAGCAGATTGAATGCATATTTATTACCTCCAGATTGCAGCATCCCATGCCTCATTATTTATATGGATCATCCAAACAAATAGGTACCTTAAATGAATGCACTGTTACAAAATCTATCATTGATTATAAGGGGAAGCTATTTCATGTTATCATTTCCCAACGTCAGGTGTACATAAAAGGGTTTTAAATAAAATTGTTTTATTCAACGTGAAGATTGCTCAATGCATATACAGAAAACACATTTGCAGCTCACACAAGATGGTGCTACAGTGCTACATACAGCATATGATACTGAAATCAAAGAGATTTATGAGTATGCACACTGCAATAAAAACAAGCTATACTGTGGAAAATCTGTAATTATTGGTATTTGAATACACACACCACACTTTCAAAAACACAGTGGTCAAAACAGAAATATAGAAATTTTGGTTGAAGATCAATTAGTGCAGCAGCTAGCACATATATATGCTTTAGTATACATGGGTAGGGCATATGCTTGACAACAAACTGCTCTGACTACAATATTCTTTTATTTTTATTCATCTTTACATAATGTAATGATTTCAAGTTTTTGCTAAGGACTACTGCTATGGATAAAAGACTTGGTGGGGTATAAATTAGAGTGAATTCACAGCCTCTTGAGTGTGCTGCAGTACCAGTCCCAGGGTGAACAAGAGCAACAAAACTATCTTTAATTAATGGCACATTTGCCACAGAACAAAAGCATTTTTAAAAAAGTTACAGATACACTGTCTACATTTCTATGAATCAGTTCAAGAGTGCCAGAGTCTTTGACTGTAAGGTCAACTGGCACAGACTGACCACACACATTCTAGCACAGCACTCACCATCCAGAGAGGAGAGCCACATTCAAACTGCCTACTGGTTTCTATCCTGGAGTAACAACTAAACCACATCTAGGAACTATTTGGAAAAGTGCAAGGTGAGAATAATGCCAAGGAGTTTTCTAACAACACAATCACATAGGTAAATGAGTTATAGTGCTTGGGCCCATGCCTTCACACTCTTTAATTTACCAGGAGATACAGTAACCACTACTTTCACATTCTAATGTGAACCTATAAAATACTAGTAAAGCTACAGGCTGTTTCGAAAACTGGTTTTCAGAGAAGAACAGACATTTTACATAACTTTGGCTTTATCTTCTTATACTTTCAAAACCCAAATCTGAGTTGGAACACAGAATAGTGGAGTCCAGCTGTGGGTCCCAAATTTAATTTTACTAGCATAGATGCATATATTCCCTAGCCACCAAATGCTTGACGCTGAACAGCTTGCAGAAGATATGCTGCTTTTGGCCATGGACACAGCCGTAAAACTGAAATAAATTTCATGTACTTGAGGTTAGTGGTGGGATTGCTAAGCATCCACTTTGCAAAATTTGCTAATTGTGAGTAATTTGAGAACTAGCATGATTTTGTGGTTCATGTGTGCACCTATGTCATAGTTTAATGCCAGCTGGCAACGAAGCACCACACAGCTCATTCCCTGCCCCCCCTCCAAATGTGGGATGCAGCAGAGAACTGGAAGGCTAAAACTCATGGACTCATGGGTTGAGATAAGAACAGTTAAATTGAACAGTTTAATTGAAATAAAATAATAATTTAATAAAAAATGTAATGAAAAGGAATATAACAAAAAGAGAGAAATAGAACCCAAGAAAAACAAGTGATGCAAACAAACAGCAATTGCTCACCATCAACCAAATGATGCTCAGCCTGTTCCCAGCAGTGAACCCCCAGGCAGCTCTCCCCCAAGCTTATATACTGAGCATGACATCATATGGTGTGGAATATCCCTTTGGCTAGTTGGGGTCAGCCATGTGTCCAGTTGTGTCCCCTCCCAACTTCTTGTGCACCCCTAGCCCCCTAGCACCATGAGAGGCTGAAAAGTCCTTGACTGAGGATAATCCCTACTCTGCAACACCTAAAACATCAGTATATCACCAACATTATTCTCATGTTAAATCCAAAACTCAAAACTGTACCAGCTACTAAGAGGAAAATTAACTCTATCCCAGACAAAACCAGGACAGACTAGGATAGCAACTATAAGTGAACTAACAAAATATTACTGCTGATTTTGGGTTCATCCACATAAATCATATTAAGAAGCTTGCAAAAAAGAGCCCTGCGACTCTGGT